CTGAATGGGGGGAGGGAGGTGGAGGCCTCGGACGGGGCGGAGGGGAGTGGCGCAGCACCCAGGCGCACAAAGGCGGAGGAGGCGAGGGGGAGGCGGATTCACGGCCACGACTCCCGCTGAGGGCTGGGACGTGCGCAGCATTGCTTAGTGAATGAGCTGGGCGTGAGTGCGTGAGTGAGTGTGTGAATGTGCGTGAGTGCGTGAGTGAGTGTGTGAATGTGCGTGAGTGCGTGTGTGTGAATATGTGTGAATGTGTGAGTGTGCTGGTCACACCACGCATTTGTGCGCCGTGGAGGCTTTAATAGGGTGCTCGCTAACAGCACTTGCCCCAGAAGGATATGCAAATGATATCTTAGTCTTTTCGCGTGCGTGCGTGTGAGCGTGTCTGTGTGGGGAGCGGTGGTGTAGCGGTCAGCGCGCTGCGCTACGAACACCGCGACCACAGTTCGATTCCCGCTCTCGGCCAACAGTAGTGACGATTAGTTGAACCCCTCCTGGACCTCCCCGAGGTCGACTCAGTCTCAAATGAGGACCTGGTGCGTTGTGTAAACATCGCCACTGGGGAGACAAAGGCGGTCGGGCGTGGTGCTGGTCACCCACCCCCTCGCGTACCGTACCAGCCTTCATATGTGCTCCTCGCTAACAGCACTTGCCCCAACAGTTTGTGAAGTCTGCACGAGGGATCTTTGTCTTTGTGCGTGCGAGCTTGCCTGTGCGTGTGCTCGCACTTTGCAGCTCGGAGTGAGAGAGCGAGGGAGGGAGGGAGCTGCCTGGCGTGGTCCTCCCCCTCCTCCCCCCCCTCCACCCCGAGCCCGGCCTCACGCGCGCCCCATCCCTCGGCGGCGCTTCACGCGGGGCGACTGCTGCAGCCTCCCGCGGGCGCAGCGAGCCCCAACGCAGCCACCCAGAGATGGCCCAAGGTGTTGGGTGACCAGCCACGCAGACGCTCCAGCCCTACTCCCCTAATCTCGACTCGATGGCCAGGCACCAGTACGAGCCCTGCCCACAGTCAACGAGACGGGCAGTCACCCTGAGGGCCCCCCACCCCTCACCGACCCTAAACCCTCCCCGCGACCCCCGCGACTCTGGCGCTCCGCCAGGGACCCCTTCTGGCTCACCGGTTGCTTCTTGGCTTCTCAGGCCCGGCGTCCACAGCTGTAAAGCCGGGCGCGCAGCTTCCCATGCTAATGCCCCCCCACCACCACGCCACTCCCTCCCACCCCGTGCCTGGGAAGCCGTGGCGCGAGTCGCGAAGCGACTGCTCCACACTGCCGCATTGTGCACTAGACCGCCCCTCTCCTATTGCAGCGGCAGGGATGGCCGTGATGGCCGTGTGCATGCGCGTGGTGTCTGCATGCGCGTGGATGTGTGCAGTGCCCGCCCACGACTCGCTTGGCTTCTTGGCCACGAGCCCACTCATCCCAGGCCACCGTTGGTGCCTGGCGGTGCTCGCGAGTTGTTCACCGGCCTTTATTCAACCCCCTTTTCAATGGCAGCTTCATTCGTCGTCGGCCACGAGCTATCCACAGCTGGATGAAAGCAACCTCCCGCTGTACATCGAGCCCACGATCCATTGTGGCTCCTGCATGTCAGCTCGTTGCTCCATCTCCACGGTGAACGTGCTCTGTAACCATAATTACACCACAACTTTTAATAACTCTTCATCTGAACCACTATAATTGTATGTACAATTATATAATTGCTGTAAAGAGCCTTGGATTATGATATATAAAATGTTATATAAGTACGATAAATTTGGCCTGTATTCTGTGCGGTAAATTCCTAACAACACAATTTGACACTAACATTCACCAGATCATCTCTACGCGAGTTATCGGGACCTCGAGTTACACACGGATCGCCTTCTCAACTCAACCCACTGTTGGGTAAAAGAGCCTCTCCACTTGGCCACGGGATTGTTTGACCTCACAGCCGCACCTCGCGCCGGGGTCACTGCGGCTCAGCCAAGCGATGGGCCACAGGAGCCGCCAGGTGGCGTGAGATTCACTCGCGAGGCCGCGACAGTGCAGCGAGATGCGGGCTGCCTCTGAGCCGCACGCAGCCCCAGGGTCTCTGTACAAAAACAACAGCCACCGCAGTCCGCGGACAGAGTGAGAACCCCCCCTCCCCCCCAGGATCTTCTTCTGAACCTCGCTGCCCCCTATATACACCACTGGCACAATACGGATGCAGCACTCTGTCAATCCACTGCTGAACGAAGGTTCTCCCCGAGTCGTCTCGGGTCATGGGGGGTTTTATTGAACCACACTTGGTCACCATCGCTGCCCAGTAAGCATGGAGCGTTGGGCCGCCGATTCCGACCACATACCAACGTTGACCAAACGTTGGTGTGTCTACTGGGGTGGTCAGTGCGAGTCGGTGAGTGAAGGGAAGAAAGCACCAGAACTGGTTCAGACATCAATAGCCACTGATGTTAGACGGCATCAAAGTAATTTCGTCCGGTTTAAAGCGCAGGGCGGTCACGACTGCACCACCGCTCTCCGTTCAAGGGAATGGAGCTGCGATGATGTCACTGCTCGTGAACGGCTCGTGCGCGTCATTATATAACCCGCGTGACGTCACAGGGAGCTGGGCACGCGCCGCTCCGCCTGTGGGGTGACGTTGCCAGCGCCGTGGGGTTGCCACCCGTCCCGACTTATCCAGGAATGTTGTCTTCAGATAACGTTGGTCATTTGATAACTCTAAATCTTCCAGGGACATAGTCTCGGTGTTTGTGAGTTACGTAAGGCCGACAATGAATGAGTTATGTACAGCAATCAAGCAATTTTAAAGTTTTGAATTATCCGGGTTGTAAGACGCTCCCGAAAATAAGACGCACTCCGAACTTGTGGCTGGTGTCAATAAGTTACACAAACCCGGTCACACGCCGAATCCATTACGCGAGGCGCTCCCAAAGTAGATTTTTAAAGGCATGGAAGTGCGTCTTATAACACGGTAAAGGCAAAACTCAGGACACAACCTGGAAGATATCCCACGCTGGACCGTGTCCTCCTGGGCTGTCCCGTACGCAGAATAAACTTTGTTCACGGATTTCACGAGAGGAGACTTTGACGCGCGTCATCGTGGTGCTTGCAGCGGCGTCGCAGTGTGGCGTCTGTTCCACGTCGCATGCCGCATGTCGGTGAGCGGCACTTTGAGGTGTCTATTTTCAGCGGTTTTAACTTAACTTGAAAACTGTGTCGTGGGTCAAATCTTCTAATCAAAAGTTAGTCTACTTCCTGTTGTTCAATCAATTCCAAATGTTGCACACGAACTCAAATCCGGTGACAATGCATGCCTGTATTAAGATCGGTATCAATTAATCAATTAATTCGCTACTTTAAAGCAATTAGCATATTGTATGGACGCCTTATTAATTATATATTTTTGTGTAGGTCAAAAACGCCGCGGTCCCTAAACTCTAGAATCGCCTCGCCCAAGAAGCAGTCGCCACGTGTCTCAATAACCAATTAATTCAATATCCAATTAATTCAATAACCAATTAATTCAAGTCAGCGTTGATGTGGGAGCAGGTTTCGCATCATTGACGTACTTCTCGACCGCGAGTTAAACGAAGTTGTGGATAAAAGCGTTATTTAAAAAAAAAACTTTTTCTAAGGAGTTTTTCTCCCGTTAAGGTCGCTTGGGACTCGTGTCTGCCAGTTCGGCACACGTGCTGTGTGTGTGCTGTGTGTGTGTGCTGTGTGTGCTGTGTGTGTGTTGTGTGTGTGTACTGTGTGCTATGTGTGTGTACTGTGTGCTGTGTGTGTACTGTGTGTTGTGTGTGTACTGTGTGTTGTGTGTGCTGTGTGTACTGTGTGTAATGTGTGTGTACTGTGTGTACTGTGTGGTGTGTGTGTACTGTGTGTGTACTGTGTGTTGTGTGTGGACTGTGTGCTGTGTGTGTACTGTGTGTTGTGTGTGTGTAGTGTGTGTCTGTGTGTTGTGTGTGTAATGTGTGTTGTGTGTAGTGTGTGTGTGTTGTGTGTGTTGTGTGTGTACTGTGTGTAGTGTGTGTACTGTGTGTGTACTGTGTGCTGTGTGTGTGTACTGTGTGTGTGCTGTGTGTGTGTTGTGTGTGTGTACTGTGTGTTGTGTGTGTACTGTGTGCTGTGTGTGTGTACTGTGTGTACTGTGTGTGTACTGTGTGTGTACTGTGTGTTGTGTGTGTGCTGTGTGTGTACTGTGTTGTGTGTGGGTACTGTGTTGTGTGTGCTGTGTGTGTGTACTGTGTTGTGTGTGCTGTGTGTGTGCTGTGTACTGTGTGTGTACTGTGTGTTGTGTGTGTACTGTGTGTGTACTGTGTGTAGTGTGTACTGTGTTGTGTGTGTGTGCTGTGTGTTGTGTGTGTACTCTGTGTTGTGTGTGTACTGTGTGTGTGTAGTGTGTGTAGCGTGTGTACTGTGTGTACTCTGTGTTGTGTGTGTAATGTGTGTGTGTGTGCGCTGTGTGTACTGTGTTGTGTGTGTGTGTACTGTGTTGTGTGCTGTGTGTGTGTGCTGGGTGTGTGTGCTGTGTGTGTGTACTGTGTGTGTACTGTGTGTGTGTGTACTGGGTGTGTGATGTGTGTGTGTGTGCTGTGTGTGTGTGTACTGTGTTGTGTGTGTGTGCTGTGTGTGTGTGCTGTGTGTGTGTGCTGTGTGTGTGTGCTGTGTGTGTGTGCTGGGTGTGTGTGCTGGGTGTGTGTGCTGTGTGTACTGTGTGTTGTGTGTACTGTGTGTTGTGTGTGTACTGTGTGTGTGTGATGTGTGTGTGTGTGTGCTGTGTGTGTGTGATGTGTGTGTGCTGGCTGTGTGTGTGCTGGGTGTGTGTGTGTAGTGTGTACTGTGTTGTGTGTGTGTGATGTGTGTGTGTGCTGTGTGTGTGCTGTGTGTATTGCTGCTCCCCGGCGTGCGCCTCTGATCGCAGCAGTTCCCCCGCAGCCCGGAACATCCGGGGGGGGTGGGGGGTCAGGGGGGATGGGAGTGGGGGGGGGGTCAGGGGGGGTGGGAGTGGGGGCAGTGGCGATGGAGGCGGCGATGGAGGCGGCGCGAGTCCTCAGGGCGGCGTGAGGCGCAGTCCTCAGGGCTCCTCTCAGCAGCAGCAGCGGCGGCGGCGGTGGAGCAGCAGTCGAGGCGACATCGGCAGCAGCAGCAGCAGCAGCGTGAGGCAGGGAGGGGGAGTCGAGGAGACCGCCTGCCCCGTCGAGGTGATGGCGCTCGTCCGCGGCGAGCCGAGGGTGTGGACCCGGCTGGCTGGGAGAGACGGGGGCAGGGATGGAGCGAGAGAGACAGAGAAGTGGAGATGTTGAGGGAGATGGGAGAGAGGGGACAGAGTGAGGTAGATGGTAGTGGTGGAGACGGAGGGGTGTGTGTGTGTGTGTGGAGAGGTGTGGGCAGGTGTCGTGGTGGCCGCTGGGCCGCGTTATGTAGGCGAGGCGAGGCGATGGCTCCGCGTGCGTGAGGCCCGTGGAGACAGCCGCAGCTCGGTGGGCGGCCGCCTGAGGCGAGGACGAGTCAACAACAACAACATCACCATCATCATCGTCATAACCATCATCATCATCATCACCATCGTCATAACCATCATCATCACCATCATCATTACCACCATCATCATCACCATCATCACCATCGTCATAACCACCACCATCATAACCACCACCATCATCATCACCACCATCATCACCACATCCACCATCGTCATTATCAACATCATCACCATCGTCATCACCATCGTCATCACCACATCCACCATCATCATCAACCACCACATCCACCATCGTCATTACCACATCCACCATCATCACCACATCCACCGTCATCACCTCATCCACCATCACCACATCCACCACCATCACCACATCCACCACCATCATCATCACCTCATCCACCATCATCACCACATCCACCATCGTCATTACCACCACCATCATTATCACCACCATCATTATCACCACATCCATCATTATCACCACCATTATTACCATGATCACTACAACAACCACCACCATTATCATCGCCATCAGCACCACCACCATCATAATCACTGTTATCATCATCACCAGATCCACCACCACCACATCCACCACCATCATCATCACCACATCCACCATCATCACCACATCCACCATCGTCATTACCACATCCATCATCACCACATCCATCATTATCACCACATCCATCATCACCACATCCACCATCATTACCATGATCACTACAACAACCACCACCATTATCATCGCCATCAGCACCACCACCACCATCATAATCACTGTTATCATCATCATCATCACCACAACCAGCAACTACTACCAGCATCACTTTCACCACCATCACCACCATCATCGCCACCACTGCCGCAGCTACCAGAACCGGGCTGTTGTCTTTTCCGAGCCTCTGTCTCTCTCTACGGCCTCGTGTGCACGGCCACTGAGATTTGGTCCAGATTTCTAACCCCCGGACAATGTTTGCTAATTGTTTAAACAAAGTGCAAGGTCGTCAATAGGTGATTGATTCTATTTTAGACTAAGGAACAACACAGACGGACGGACGGCTCCATACATCTGTCTGTGAAAACGAGCTTTATAGCTCACCGGGTTCCTCCATTATAAATACAGATTCTGATGTCTCCGCAGAGACAAAACAAGGGCGTTTTACACGTCCCATCAGCCTCGTGGTCTGAGATTACCCACTCCCAGAGGCCGCGTGGCCAATGGGCTTTGTAAACAAACAATGCCTTTGTTTTCATGTGAAATGCTTCATGTGAAATGCTTCAAATCATGTTAAATGCTTCAAATCTAGAAATGAAGGAGACATTGCGAAATTGCTTTGTTACCTAAATCCTCCAGATGCGTTCTGTGCTCTTTCCAGCTAGAATCTTATTCGTGGTGTTCCACATGTTGACGCCGAGTGACGTCACTCCACGTGCCGGCCGCTGGCTCGTGACGTCACAAGCGGGTAAATTTCGCCGCGATGGGTTTCCACGGCAACGCGGTCCTCGCCAAAATCCAACCCCCCCCCCTCGTGCCACGCGAGCCCAGAGACGGCAACGACGCTCGCACAAGCGCGCCGATCTCTCGCCGCCGAAGTTGCCTCTCTTGCGTCGACGGTGTCGCTTGACCCCGCGGCGTGGCGTCGATTGTACACGCAGAGGGAGACCGGATGGGCACTTCCGACAAAGTGGGGCCACCCCCCCAAGTTATTTAGTTATTTTGACGCTGGAAGGACGTTGACGTGACCCCCGGGGCGGGATGTCCGACGTTCCAATTGTGAGTCGAGCACTTTCAACGTCGCGCCACGCGGCCAGGCACAACGAGATGGCAACGCGGCGGCAACGCATTCGTCGATAACGCTGCCCCGACGAAGGAAATCGCGTGCAGCGGTGATAGAGATGGGGTTTCGGGCAATGGCCCTCCTTCACAGCAGCGAGAGAGCGAGGGAGAGATTGCGTGAACGGTAGTTAGAGACTGCACTGTACACCATGGGGCCCTGATAGAAATGTGACAGACGCCTTCGACTACACAATCGCGACGACAGAAACGCATGTGAAGGGGATATCACAGAACCTGCAGCAGGTCATGGTTTACTAACTGCTTTACTAACTGCTTTACTAACTGCTTTACTAACTGCTTTACTAACTGGTTTATATGAAGACGTGCGCACCTTTTGGTCTTCCCTTTCTTTCGCTCGAATTCCAGTTGGACTATCGACACCATGTCTAGGAGGGAGCAGTGTACCACGTGATGTCGGAGAATGGCCTTGGAAGATGACACCACTGAACTACTTGTGAAGTCCCTTCAGTTTCCTCTTCTCCACACTCGGTCCATGCGCCGCTTTCTCCTCCGCGTTCTTGGCATCCCAATGCAATCAAAATGTGTAATCCTCAGCGTTGGCTTATGCAGAGTCGAGCGACAAACCACATTTCATATTTGTAACTGGAAAGCAGGCAGCTTTAGTGTCACACTCCATAAAAGACGACTGACTTGGTTCACTGGTGATGGGGATAATTTATTGTTCGTGTTTAGCCTGAGCCGTTTAGAAAGTTAGAATTCACGATAAACAAATATGGGCTCCAAATTTGATTATTTTAAATGTTCGTGGTTTTTTCTAATTGTAAGCTTTAGTGCAACTATGTGCCACATTTGCTCTTCATAGCTGTTCCATGATGCCATTAGAATTTACATCTGTCAGTGGCCATCAGCTATATTTTTTTAGTTTTTAGGCTGTTGTGAGTGAGTGGGTTGAGATGTCAACTCGCCACCATTGGAAACCCGATTCAATCACTGGGGGCGGCCTGGAGCCTAACCCAGCTTCTAAGTGCTCGCTAACAACACAGGGAAAGGTCCCTGACCCACCCAGCCAGGTCCTTTATAAATACTTTCTGTGCAGGAGCCAAATTCGGCGCAGCCCAGAGTTCCTGAGTGTGTTCAGTCCAGCCTTGCCTCACGTGTGCATTTTGTGAGTAAACTCATGTACAAACAACTACGCCCAACTATTCTTGAAGTCACCCTGACCCGCCGCTAACATTTTGGCATATGTCATGTCACGCGTGCCCCGCGCACGCACTGTGACGTGCCAGACGAAAATACTATCTTGCGTGTAACATCATAGGCACGGTGACTCTTATACTCTGGTGGGTCTGCAACCATCTTCCTCTTAGATGTCCTTTTTAGTCTGTGGATAACTGGAAGATTATCATGATGAGCAACCCTTATTGAGTAGCAAAAGTTGTAGATAAGAATATTGTATATAAAGTAAAAATAGTTTGTATCCCTGTGTCAATCTCTTCTGTTGGATGAAGTCCTACCCACACCATGTTGGTCGTGGGATTGTTTAACCATACTTCACCACACTGGTCAGTGCGGGTTGGTGAAGAGGGAGGCCCAGAATCGGTTTCGATATCACTCGCAAATGAAACCAGCTGTGGCCCGGAATCAAAAGTTTGACCGCCAAGTTCATTGCAAAGTACGCTGAGCACTGCACCATTTATATACGCTGGCTATAAAGTGTTAGAGTTTAATAGACAGGTAAATCATCAACTTGGCAGGTGTTGTTCGCCAGAATAAGGTACCCATCAACCCATTGCCCTCGGCAAACCTCTACTTTCCCCACAACTCTTGTTCAAATAAAGTAAACTCGAACTGGTTTTAACTAATTACCAGCAGTGCGTACACTGTTAAACAGAACCTGCAGCATTCGGTGGTGGTATAGACTACAGCCTTCCATATCTATGCTCATCATAGTTCAGCAGTGTTTTATGAATTCATGAATCTCTTGAAGATGTAGTGTTCCATGAAAAAGCATGGCTTTTAAAGCTCAATCATTCTATTGTGGAAGCAGGGCCCATGACCAAATCATTCGGAATGCGCCTGATCTCCATTACTCTTAAAAGCTAAGCTGGGGTGAGCCTGGATAGTGCTCAGATGGGACCCACTGTACTTAAAACAGGCGTTGTATTACATTTTCAGTAGAGGGCAGTGCAGAAAAAATCCATTGTACTGTACTATCTAGATTTGAAGTTTGTACTATACTGTGTTCGAACATATGTGTGTCCCAACTTCACCGACTATCTCGGACTAGCCGGGTGAAGTTTGGTAAAATAATCCCGATGACCAACATGGTGGCCTTCATCGAGCAGCAGGTTCAGAATAAGAATCCGAATATTGATTTACACTGGAGGAATCCGATGAGCTATAAAGCTCTTTTTCACACATGTCCAGTCGGGGCACGGGGTAAAAATGTTATAACGACAAAGAGCATGACAACGAATTTGGTTCACTAAAGAGCTGCACGGCACGAGTCGGAGCAGCGGCAACGCCTGGTTGCTCACAAGCAACTTAGCGCTGGGCACGGCACAAGGGGGCAGGAGGAGACACCGGGCAAGCGAGGTTTGGTGCGGGAAAGTGTCTCAGACGTACGTCAAGTCGTGCTCAAAAGGGCAGTGCGTCTGCAGACGTTTCAGAACGTGGGTAAGGCAAGTGGAGCAAGTGGGGCGGCACCAGTCGACAGGGCGGCATGAATGAGCTCACACGTCGGGCTTGCGGGCTGCATCCTTCGCGAGCGAGCTGTCCGCATTCTAGCAGCCCTGAAATCGCTCTGACCTTGAAAAAAAGTATAAACAAATATATTTTTGAAACGGTGAGATGACCTTGACAAAAATATACCCGCTCCTTCGATTGCTGCGTGGGGTTGGCGGGGGGGGGGGGGGGCAGATACAACAACAGTGGTGATACAGATTGGGGAGGTGGTCTTGATTAATGATGTAGTGGTCGGTGTCTGATTGCATGGAAATTCGCTGCTAGTCATGCATGTGTATGCTTGTCAGGTTCACATTTTTACGAAAAATGTTTTGCTTTTCTACAAAAAAATGTATGGGCAGTGGGGGGCAGCGGTAACACTCACGTTCCTAACTCAATTGGCATTACACACAGTGGCAACATCGCCCCCATACTGTGAAAACTTGGCAGGACCGTTCTGAAAAAGAGTCTTGAGACTCAGTGAGGTTTTCCTGGGTAAACGAGCGTAATCATAAATAACAATAAAATATAATCATCCTGACGATGCTTTGCGTGCCATCATAAGATGAGGTATCCTTCGGATCTCTCACAGAGCAGTGCAGTCCATGGAAGTGGATATGACAGAGCCACTGAGATCGCTGCAAATGACTTATGATGAACGCAGTAGGAGGCAGCACTTTCTTACTCACACAAACACGTTTAACAAATTACATTCAAACCGTTATTTTCTATTCTTAGAGCTGGAATTCAGCCAAATTAAGCGCAGAACCAAGTTTACTGTGTTGGCTTTTTGTGTGCAGTCATTGGTGGCCAGGCTGAGACAATCAACTCTAGACATGCGAACCTAATTTAATGACAGGCAGCTGCCTGGATTCTAACTCTGGGTATCTGTGGTTGCCAGCTCAGCGCCCTGACCTCTGAGTCACCCAGCCTCCTCGTGTAAGGTTCATATTTCAGACTGACCCTTCACATTGTTGTATGTATGTCCCTGCGTGGCAGCGATGATTTCATTGGATAGCAGGCCAGTTTGGATTCAAATGCACCTCCTGTGGGTCACACAGTTTGGCCGATGAAAATGAAAAGCAAAATAATATGGTATTCATTTTCCGATTCAAAACCCGAAAGCGTGGGAAAATAACTTTTTTATTTTGCGACAGGGCACGCCAAATCCCCCGTTTCAATGGCCGGTTTAAGTTCAGGTTGTATTTGAGTAGAAAGTTTGAAATTTTTTATTTATTAAAACACGTGGCAGGCCAGAGGAAGGCTCTTGGTGAGCTGGGTGCGGCCTGCGGGCCGTGTGTTTGACACCCCGACTCGAGATGGAGCACTGGGGAAGCCAGCTACAGCAATACAGGAAGAGGGGCCATTGGGGGAGTGTGGTGTGACGGGGCCTGGTGCCTTAATTACTCATAAACGTTCGAGGCACTCTTGTCTTTAAATGTCTGTTTACGTTCCGCTCTGTATCCACCGGCTCCACAGGCCAGAGAGATTGCCCTTCCCTAAAACGCCTATAAAAGCAGCTTTGGCCCTTTGAACTTAGGTTCATGCCGAGAATGCTATGAAATTCCTGGGAGAACGGGTTAAGCTACTTGAAAGTAAAAACTAGAATACGATAGAGAAAAATTGTGAACGTAATGCGGAAGAGGAGATCGCTGCCGATAGGGAAAAATGTGCAGGAAGGGAAATGGAAGGCTACCGAGACCGGCAACGCAGTGAGGGAAAACCCAAAGGGTGGACCTAAAGCCAGATGGTGGGGTGTGGTAAGAGCAGACTTATGGGGTTGGGTGTTAACTCTGTCATAGGCTCTGCCAGATGAGAGTGGTGATGAGGTACGGTGGCCCTGGTGGCTTTGGTGGCGTTGGCCATGATGACCTCTTGACGTTTTTAAAATCTCGAGTCCCTAGTAGCATTTTACCAGAATGTGTCCCTTGAACGGCATTCTTATAATAGTAATATTACTACTATTATACCTGGCACACTGCATCCGCCATTCTTCTCGCTGTGGCTCTAAGTCATGAGCCATCTCCAGTCTACCAGCAACCCAGGAAATATGCGGTGAGAATTAAAGCCCTGTGTATAACCCTGTTGATGTCGTATACGGCTGGCATCTCAACACATTTATTTTAACAATTTAATAAACAATGTTGAGACTCTTGGTATGCCTTAAAATAAATCCAAATGCAGATGACGAATAGCAGCTTGTCAAAATCCATCATTTGACCACCAACCCTCCCCAACCAAAACTATTCAACTCTCTCTGTAAATGACTAACACCAGTCATGCGCAATGGCAAGCTCTCTCGGTGACTGTAAGAAAAAGCTGCTGTTATTTTAATCAACCTGTAATTTCATTTATATTGCCTGTTCACGGAGCAGTTGGTGCTGCTTGCGTGGGTTTGACAGGCATTCGGACAATCAGACTTGTGAGGTGCGGCCCATCAGCCGTGACGGGGCACAGACTCGGTCTTCTCCGGATTGTAAGATGCGCCCTCTTCTCCGTTATTCACTCGGCGGGTGCGTCTTGAAGACTGCGTTTCAATCGAGTTGTTTAGAGCATATACCGTTGGGCTGAAAGCAACCATATAAAAATGTATGCACGCAATTGTGACTCAACTACTGTATTTGTAACGCAGTTAATCATGAGCGCAACTATGGGGAATATAAGTTACAAAATAAATAAGCTGACTATTCGCCTCCTTCCCACTTCTGTCCCTCCGTGTAAAAAAAACGTAAGTATTGTTTTGAGGACCCATATGTAACAGAGAGGGCCTTTGCCTAAACATCTGGCAGTTCACCAGCATTGGTTCAAACGAGCCTCACTGCTGATGAGACGCTGAATGTTGGAACCGGTTCACAGTTTACTTGTGTTGAGCTGATGCTGCTGAAAAAAAACAACTCTCAGAAGGCCATGTGGCTGATAGGGTGTTCAAAAAAATACTTAAAATATTTTTTTTCATGGAGGAACAGATCCGTGAAGGTGGCGATTTGTCTGTTTATTGACGTTGTTGGCTTATATTCTGCGCAAGGACGTTAACGGTCATCTCGTGTTATTGTTATCGTTGTCGTTGTGATGTTTGATTGCGTTCGTTCGCACGCGTTCCCAGGTGCCGGTGGCCATGTCGGAGGAGGACGAGGCCGCGGCCATCACATCGTACATCACGGCGCAGGAGGTGAAGTGCGTGCTGCACTGGTACGAGAGCTGGAGCGGCCCGCAGCGCGAGCGCTTCCTGCGCGACCTCGTGCTCAAGGCGACGCCGGGGAAGCTGTGCGCGCTGCTCGACGGGCTGCAGGCGCTCGGCGTGTCGGACCGCGCGCCCAGCATCTTCGAGTGCCAGCTGCGCCTGTGGACGCAGTGGTTCGAGAGCTGGAGCGAGGACGAGCGCAACGGCTTCCTCAACCGCCTGGAGCAGGCCGACGCCGGCTTCGTGGCGCGCTTTTACCAGGAGGTCGCCGCCACCAGCTGCCAGCCGTAGCGCAGCGCCTCGCGGGGGTGGGCACGCCATCCCAACGCGCGTTCGCGGAGCGGGACAAATGCGGTCGGTGCAGTTAGGGAGAAAATCGGTGATTCAGCAGATCCGGTTCGTTTCTCGTGAAATCGGTCTCCCGCGTGGGGGGGGGGAGGTTGTTTGCAAGGTGTCTGTGGGCGAGGGCCTTGCCCCAGCTGGGAAGTTCCAGGCTGACGACGGCAACAACAAGAACAGGATGTTTGTGCCATGTGCTGGTTATATTGCTGCAGGAGTGTATGCTTAGCAAACTGCGTGCACTTTACAGACCCTTACTGGCTGTCAATGTAAAATAATAGGCCTTGGCAGCATGAAATATATTTTTTTCTGTGTAAACAAAACCCTGGCAAAATGATCTCCCCCTACCCCATCCCCTGCCATGGCGATTCAAGGAATTGTTGATTTGCAATCGATATTTTTTCACATTACGGTGAGTGGTAGCGCCTCTAGTGGCTGCAGGGGCGATGTGATCCCCTTAATTCAAAATCGATATGATATTCATCGATGAATCGATAGAGCAATCCACCGCTGTCTGTCGGTATAATATAAAAGTGGTCTACACAGGGTGCTCACTAAAGGCGTTGATCAGACTCCCTGGTACCGATGAACATGTGCTCGGAGCTGCGCCGCTTGTCTGCAGCACATCACTCAATCGGTTGTGGCGCAGAAACCCCGCAAAGTGTCACACAGCTGCCCAGGTGCCGCAGCAGTCGTCCCTAGGGTGGCCGAAGCGAACCTGTTCATTTGAGCATGAAGCCAGGATCGCGATCGAAGGGAAAGAAGACATAGGCCGCTGAGATTTTAGGCGGCTTGCCCACCGCGTTATGGGGGAGGGGGGGAACGGGAGTGAACATGGGTCAAACGAATCGAGCATGAAGGAACGGATATTGGAACGGCAGCAACCCCGACAACAGCAATCCCAACAACAGCAATCCCAGCTTAAGGCACAGACATTGGAGGAATTGACCCAGGCTGAGCGACGGCGAGTTGGAGTTCGGGATGTCACGGGCGTTTTGCACATTGACCTCCGTGCTGGCCGCAGTGTTGGCCCCGGCGGAACGTCACCAGAGCGTGCCACGGAAGGTGCACGTGGCTCGGACGACGGCGAGGTCCGGCTTGGGGCACGACTACGTATTGCTGCGTGCCCAACCGGCGCTCCTCCGTGACGGAGCCTTCATGTCGGCGTCACGGTGACAGACGTGCATCGGTCGTACTGGTGGTTATAGTTGGGGAATCGGCAATACTGCGGCAAAGCTTTGCCGTCAGATCCGCGCCGGCTCGTCGTCGTGTTGTGAATTTTAAAAAAGTTCCTTACTCTTACGAAATATCAACCCTCGTTTAACGTGAGAGTGCATTTATTCAAGTCAGTTTACATGACTGTGACACCTTAAACTGAAGCAGCGAAAGACAACAGCCCCTTACTGACTCGTGGTGTGCCCTCCCCATTATACCAAGGATTATGCACTTCATGTTTGCCATATCCACGCACAGGTTGTAGTTCACGCGGATTTCATTGAACAGTTAAGCCTTACACAGGTGCTACGAACTTTTTTTTACGTTATGAAATTCAAAATGAATAATAATCCCGATGAGATAGTTTGTGGAATTTCAGCGATGCATTCGCAAGAGCTTCGTGTAACTTAATCGCACAAACCCACTTTGCCACCGGTGCGCTGTTCCATCGCCCACAAGGGTCAGACAAGAGGCGTGACCTTGGGGGACACTGGACTTGGGAAATGTAAAGCGGGTTTGCGCAACGTTTGAGTTTTCTACGTCACCAGCAGTGCGTGCGTGCGTGTTATTTGCTCGTGTGTGAGAAAACGGAAAATGGGCAATGAGTGCGGCTCCGCTAGTGATCATGGAGTGCACCGTATGTACGCATGTTGAACTTCCTTCGCACCGTACGTAGCCACCCGTGCTAATCGGAGGTGCGCCGTGTGGCTCGAGTGGACTGCGTCGTCGCTTCTCCCCACCCTGTCGGGGCCTCTACGCGCGGAAAAACGGTCACCTTGCTAAGCAATCGTCAATTTTGTTTCGTGACGTTAAGTTGGTAAACAGCTCTTCTTCGCGCGAACGTTCCGTTGTTAACGTGCTTGCGTGCGCATGTGTGAGTGAAACAAAAATTACATTTCTTTTCTCATTAGAGTATTGTGTAATCCCACGTTTTAACGCGGTAAGTTTTGTCGCGTGACTGATGTTTAAACAAACGTAGAGTGTTTGAACTTTCCATCATAGTGCGCAATGCACAGTGCAGGATTTGTGTTTCTGGGTGATGAGATACAATTTTAGGGTGCTTCCAACATAAATTTTTGATCCAAACACAAGTGTATACATTAGGGATGAGTTTCAGATAATTTTTGTTGGGATATTTAAATACAATGAGATTTTTTTTGGGACTTTCGGATCATTTGCACTCTGTAGTGTAACGTGAAATGTATTTGCACTACAATGGTGATATCACTCAATACCGTGCGACACCTCTTATGCCGGAAAAATCGTGCGAAAGATACCATACCAGCGATGTAATTTTCGGTTTTTAGATTGATTCAAAATTGCAAAAAAATATACATTTAGGCCTGATTTTCTAGTTTTTTTTTATTCATTGAGAGCACATCCCTGGTGTACGTACATTTGTGCGTGGAATGTACAGGACGCTCGCACCAATGCACACAATCCAAATTATTTCCGTGAAACACTGAGACAATGCCATGAGAGTGCATAGATGCATTTCTGTGAGCGTGTGCACCCCCACACATTGTGTTGCAAAATAACCCAGAATGCAGTTTAAACACGCAGGATAAAAGCATCCATCCTTAAATTGCATCTGGCACACAGCGAGGTTCGTGACAATCCTGTGTAGTGGCACTGATGGGAAGATTAGACCCTCTGTGTTTACATCTTTTTTTGTCGTTATACGCTTCCCATGGTACATGTGGCAAACGTTACTTATTGGTGGGAAGTGGTTTTGTTTCAGAAATGTGGCCGGGAACCACTTTCACTGGCGGTTTGTCAGATTGATATTTCAGAGATCGCTGGATTTTTTTATAAGGAATGCAAATCTCATAAACCGTGACACAACAGTGGAATGGCTAAAGTGTCGACACGTAGAAAACTGAAAATGAATCTCATCAGAGTTCTTTTTAATCTGTCTAGAGAGTAATTACTGTATTAGCAGTGCACACATTGTGTTGCAGTTAACTCATACGTGCAAGATTAATAAAGTAACCTTTGGACTTAATTTCCGGATGTGATACAAATGATCAGATAAGACGTCCATCCATTGCAGAGATGGAGTAATGAAATGAGTTCGTGCGCCGGTGCTGGGTAGATTGTAATACCGCAGGATCTTGACAGGTGCCGGCAGCTTGGGAGGCCTTTATCCAACAGTGGCTTGACCATGGCTAATTATGATGATACAAAAGAATGGTGGGATGTATGTTTATCATGAACATATTCTCCAAGCATGAACAATATATATTACATTAATTCGGTTCATCTGTTGAGAAATGAGGATTGTAACGATTCACCCTGCAGTGGATTCGATGAAATGTTGCAATTTTTTTTAAAGAATCGGTCCCCGGGGCCGCAGGCGTCATGTGAACCGATTACATAGAGCAGCAATACCGTTCATAATTATCCTTTACAGCCCTTCGTCAATCTACTGGATAAACGCTTCTCCGTGCCATATCACTTATTGTGGTTGTTTTGACCATCAGCACACCGGTGAGTGAGTTGGTGAAAGGGGGGGGGGGGGGCAGGACTGGTTCAGATCTCACTCGCCACTCGTCATCGCCGTGGCCGGAAATCGAACTAACCGCTGCACCACTGTTCCACCCCGACAACAGCACGTGTTCATCGAAGTACATCGATTCTTACACATGCAACCAGATGTATGCATCATCTTAAAATGCAATGGTTTATTATTGTATCCATTATTGCTAATTTCTTAGAAAGCATGAGCATTTTTGGGGCGGTTTAACGTGTTTTTCAAATGTTACGAAGAAAAAGTATTTGTATTTTATTTACTCTTTCCTGAAATGTGTTTCAGACGACATCTGCCTTCGTGTTATTGAGCTGGCCGATTGATGTCTACCAGACTAGAGCCATGGTTCTGACTGCACGAGCACTCGCAGGATTCCTGTTCACGGTTTAGTGTACAACTGTATGCATAAACCAAATACTTTTGAACAACGATGCAGTATCAGTACGTACCTTTCTGAACCAAATGGCTGCTCATGGGAACAGTGTCCGAGTCCTTTTGAAGTTTTCGGTACCGGCTGATGCAGATTCTCCTCACTGAGGGCCAAATATAACGTTCATATCTTTGGTGGGCAACCACACATGAACATAAACCCTCGCGTCGTTATCCAATGAGAACGAAAAGAAGTAACGTTACGCCAGTGACACAAGTTACTGAGGGTGATGCATTAAGAAACGCGATGTTGCCGGGTCATAATTCGTCCCCTCTAGTACCCGATTAGTGTGGCTGAGATGTTTGCGGTGACGGATGGATATCATTTGTGTGACACGTCAAAGTCGTAGGCCTCGTGTGGCCCACGGGCCGTGGCAGTTGTAGTCACGGGCCAGATGAGTCCCACGGGGGGACCTCGCAGAGGGCCGGTGGTCACGCACTCCGAGTTCAGGGTTTTGTTCCAGATGAATTACGGTGCTCGCTCTGAAACAATCTGCAACTGGTGTGGATCCCTCTTGGCTTATCGAGGACATGTTTTATGTTTTGATAAAATGAAATGAAAGTAGAAATCTAATGTATGACCACTTGTGCGTAACGGTACGTTCACTGCCGTCCATTTGTGATTCATTAAGATTTAACACTTAAAAAATGTTGCATTAAAAATTCCGAGATTTATTCCAACGTGTTTTCTTCTAACACTCCAATTTGTAGCCTTTATCACGCTAGTCTCATGCGCATCAGTGCATTTGTCTTCACGTGACCATGACATTTCATTCAATTAAGTTAAGACTGATTCATGTATGGGCTACAAGTGTTTCCATATATAGGAAGGCGTGCATTATTGATACCCCAGACGGACATTGTGGAACATAGCTGTGTGGCTTGGTATTCTCCACGGTACAGACTCTCCATTGTCATCGCCTGTTACCTGTATTATACTTGCATAGATTAAGCGGTTCTGTTGAGCTAAATAAAATGTTTGGTTATATACAGATCTGCCATTGACCTCTGTGATATATTTACACACACCATTCCATGTATTAAAGTGCGGACATATTTTTCAGTCATACGAGTAATTGTCATACTTTCTTGAATGCCTTTCCAATTTACTGGTATCTGCTTTTAAAATAACCTGCAATAATTTCCTGCAATAGTTTTTGATTGGTTGCTATAATGACTATGCCCCTACCAAATCTGAGATGGTTATTATTTTCTACATTTATGTTTATGCCTTTGTTTCTCCATTTATCAGCAAACATTCTCTTTATTTTGCTGTGAATAACCTTGGTGGGAACATACCACCATGCTCCACTCCTGTTTTAATACATATCTTAGTACATATACTTTCTACATCCAATCTAAACTTGCCCGTTCCGTTTTTGTAAATGGTATTATATTTAAATATATATTTGACCTTGACTTGTGAGAGCTTGGAAGGCTACACCAATTTTCACCGAGTTAAAATGCGTTTTCATAGTCCACAAAGGCCAGGCCCAGAGGTCATTAACATTAATTGATTTTTTAAATCCACAATCCAATTAACAGGTGGTGCCCTGATATCTTCTCGGGCACGATTCCTCCTCAGACTGCCACTCCGCTCCTTCTCGCGACGGGTCCTGCGCGAGCCCAACATGCAACACCCGTCGAGTCACTGCGGTCACGTGACACACACCTGGTCGGACAGCCGTCTCGTGGAATCGCTCAACGTCGTTGCCTTTGACGTCACAAAGCACGTGAGGTTGCATTTGTGTCCCATCGTACAATGGTGGCTTTGTAATGAATACAGTGGCCAACGTTGTTTCTACCGTGGCTTCCAACCTTAAATCATAATCATACAACGTGTATTTAAGGTTGGCAGCCGTGGAAGAAATATCTTAGCCCAGTAAGATTACAGAGCCAGCATTGTATGACTGCAAAGTAAGGCGATGCAGCCGTGAGTTGGAGATCGTTAGAGCAGCGTGGAAGAGGAGGGATGAGCAGGGGGGTACGTGGTGCAGTGTCACTTGCCTTGCTCAAGTCAAGAAACGTGTTCACGTGGATCTGTTACAATGTCGAGTACTCTTTGTTGCTGGCCACTTGATATTTAGGGCCTTTGGACCCATGAATCCTAGGCTCTCCGATTACGGTGTTTAAGTAGTCAATACCGTGAACGATAATAGATAATATAATAATCGGTTTTGATGCGAACCGACTCGATAGCGTCTCTGCTACGATGCGGTGCCGTCTGTCGGTTTGTTTATCACTTGAGTTGTGCGGCTTTCCAAGGCCGCACACGTGGGATTCCCATGTGGTTCAGATAACGTTATGGAAGGCTGATTGATAACGAGGCAAGGTCAAGGGTCGGCCCTGCTGCTCAGATGATACACGCATACCGAGCAACATGGAAGACGGGGGAAAGGGAGTTTGACCGATGGATGGAGCTACAGTATTGACAAGTTTACAACCCTCTAATCAATCCACTGCTGGATGAAGGCCTCCTCACGCCGGGTTGGTCTTGCGGGTTGCTCGATCATGCTTGGGCGTTGGTGAAGGCAGGATGGGGGTGGGGGGCAATGGCTGATGGGAAAACTTTTGTTGAGAAGGCCTCACGGTCGATGGACTTAAATGTTGGTGACAGAACACAACCTCGTGTTTGTAGCATGAAAACAGCCATAACGTGAGTCACACCTGCAACGTGTGCACACACGTGACAACACACGTGACGATACATGCGCACTACTTTAGTGGACTTGCATCTCCACAGCTAATGCACTTAAACGCATGTGTGTGGGTGTGCGTGGTGTTGTTTAACTTTGAAGATGTGGAACGCTCGTGAAAACGAGTCAACATTAGTCTCAGTATCCCAGGCTCAACCAAGGATTAGGCCGTGCTGGCCTTGATTCTCAGCCCAGAGCCAATGGTGGACATTACACATTCCTCTGGTCTCTCCATCGAGTAACCGTTGTTGACATCTGACCTCAGAGGGCAGATGGGCCGTCACACTCCCATCTGGGATGTTAACTTTGGCAACCTCTGAGCCCTCTGCCACAACACCGTGTGACCGTAATGTCAGACCGATGACGATTACAGATGAGAGGTGACCCTGCACGAAACATACAACATCCTGCACTTTGAACGTCCGTGATTAAACTGCAGGCATAGTGTTCACATTTTATTTGTTTGTGCTTATTTGTTTATTAATCTTTCATTGCTCATCAATGTTGTTGTATGTTAAACGTTAGAGATATGCACTGTATCTCGTTTCGGGTTAAAATATTTAAATGAATGAATACCCAGTTCTGCTCCTATGACTTCTTACAATATTTATCGATCTGTTTTAGCTCCGGTGCTCCCCACGGCTCCGTCCTCAGCTCTCTTCTCCATCTCTCTTCTCTAATACTCCTCTCACTGCTAAATCATCTCCGGCGGTTACTCCCCTCCCATCTCTTACAAGACATCTGACCGACATTAAATAGGCCACATACCCTGTAGAGGAGATCTCTAGAACTCCCTCGAGTGGAGGTACTTTGCCAGCAGTGGCATTCGCAAACAACTGCAGGGCTGCACCTTCATCTTTTTCTAAATGAAAGGATGCTTCAAACAAATTGTTCCCCATCCCGAGTCCCATTGCGATCTATAGCAAACTATTTGGTGATGCTGTTGCAAAGGCAGTGGTGCACAAAGCACAATTAACACAAACACTCAACACGTCCATCGGGCAATGGTCCTTCTTCATACTTCAATGCAGTTGCGCTCTCTTCCTACCCCATCTTCGGCGACCTTTCCCCCACAAGCGATAAAAGAATCCCTGCCCGACTCACCAGTCACCATCTCCCCGCTCGCGCTCTGAGGTTCAGCTGTTCCGTCTGTGTGCGCGGCGACTCGGGGTCGGCTATCGTGTTGCTGCCTCCCTGCAATGTGCAACGGAGACTCTCCCTCTCCCAAGCGGAGCAATAACATTTCACGGCCGGTGCACGACGGAGTGGCGTAGACAGCGGGGAGTGCGTGGTTGGGATTGCTTCCCGTCGAGTGAGATTGGGTTTCGCACGCCGGCCGTCTTGGCCATTGCCCTCAGTCCAGCTCGTATAAAACCATCTGCTGAATTACAATGATTGCGTTACCGGGGGGAACAACTTCTATTGGTCAATGTGACATTACCAGGCCCATACAAATGTACGGAGATGCATAAATGGAGCACTGCGTCATTATCTGCAAATGTCAACTGGTGTACATCGTACGGGGAGTTGTGGTAGTGATTGTAAGAGGAGGCATCTGTGGAAGAGTCCCACCCCCTACTAATCAAGTGCAGTGCCGCCCCACATCTCAATTCAGAGCCCCCCACCCCCGGATGGTAGGAGAGGTTCAAGTTTAAAATGTAAATGATCGGTAATGCCATTAATGCCACCAATCATTACTACCACCTTCCCTTGGGCAGATCACACAACAGATGTACAGTGTACACGGGACCTCCAAGGTGTGTTCTTAAATGGAATCTCCTTTGAGAATGTGAATATTGGTGCCCCTCGAATTAATCAGAGCACCCCTTGAATTGCCGCTGCTGGGACATTTACTCTGCTGCTGGGGCAGTGCCCTCCGCTTTTGGTTTCACTCTGGATACGAGGGGGTGCTGCCAGTGTGGCACATCATTTGTGTTGGTCTTTCTTCCAAATTCATTTCATTTTTGCCGTTGGCGTCACGTAATGCGGTGCATATTCCATCCGGAGAGCTCAGAGCACCGCACCCCGCGGATTATGGAACGTGTCGGACAAGGGATTTTTCAAAGGGTTTCCGAAAATCCACAAGTGTCCTTTTAACCCTTTACACAGTGGGGAGCACTTTACCACAGCGCCTTGCTATCAGATTGTTTGTCCCATGACAGTCAACCCAATATATAATTCATATACTTTATATATTTTTTATTCTCAGAACTGGAAGTTTATATTTTTTTCTTAGAGCTGGAATTGAGCCAAATAAAGTAAGTACAACCCCACAACGTGATTTTGTCCAGTCATTGATCACTGTCTGGTTTAAGCATTGGCAGCTGCTGCCCGGATTTGAACCCAGGCCCTCTGCGGTGCCTGCAGCTCGTGACGTGGCGATGGTGGAAGAGAGGGCATCCCAGTCCATGCTCATGGGAAAGACTGAGCAGGCGAACCATCATGTTCAATCATGTTGAACAATCATGTTCATCTGCTTTTGAGGCAGTTGAGCGCTCTGTTTTTTGTTGTTGTTAAATCTGCATCTGCACTCATCCAGCAGTAGATAGATGGCAAGCCTGGTCACATCTCCCGATAAACAAGTCTGCCTGACACCCACTCGACTCACCATCCCGTCTCCTCCCCTTGCATTCATCCTCATCCGTCACCGCCTCCTCCCATCCCCACGAGACTCTCTCCTACACCCCTATCCCACCCTCCCTCTCTCGCAGTCTGATCCCCTCCTCGGCTTAGGGGGTAGCGATTAACCCCCCAGCGACACGGGGAGGGGTCGCCTCTCTATTCAGAAGTCGACTGTGTCGTGCGTGTCGGCGTCTGTCTGCTCTGCGGTGTTTGTCTCGCTCGTCTCTCCGTCTCTCTCGTCTCGTGCGCACTGTCTGTACTCTGCCTGTGTTGTACACCACATCTAACGTGTAACCTCGTCTGTACTGGCATGTGCCGTATCTCTGTCCTGTCTCTGCTGCTTTGCGTGCCCGAGCTGCCTGCCCTCTGCGCCGTCTCGTCTAACGCGTGTCTCGCTGGTTCCCACTCCTCCACGGCTGGAATGTGGCCTCTAATCCAGCACCGTGAGCGTCCAGATGGCTCGCGCCAGGAGATGGCAGTACAGCAAGTGGACGATGCGCCATCTGTGTCCATCTGTACGGGGATGGAATTGTTGTTGTTGTTGCCACCTTCCGCGTGTGCTTTTCTCCGGGGGCTCTGGGTTTTCTCGCACTCGTAAAGCCATTCAAGTCAACACCCAATGTAGCAGGACCCTCCTGTAAAGACTCTTACGACTCAGTGTGGGCTCTCCTGGA